TGTAATTACTTATATAAATTACTTAATAAAGATATGAGCAAGGCCTCACCTTAAAAAAAAAAAAAAAAAAAAAAAAATGTTTTAAAAATTCTCAAAAACTTTAATCAAAGATAACTTAGCGCCCACATGACCAAATTCGATGAAAATTTTTTTATTCAAATTCTACAGAACTAGAATTCGAATAAAAAAATTTTCATCGAATTTGGTCAAGTGGGTGCAAAGTTATCTTCGATCAAAGCTTGCATTAAAATTTTGGCGCAGTTTCTACTAATTGTATGCGTTTTAAAAATTCTTAAAAAACTTTGATAGAAGATAACTTGGCACCCACATGACCAAATTCTATGAAATTTTTTTTTATTCAAATTCTACAGAACTTAGAATTCGAATAAAAAAATTTTATCGAATTTGGTCAAGTAGGTGCCAAGTTATCTTCTATCAAAGTTTTTTAAGAATTTTTAAAACGCATACAATTAGTAGAAACTGTGCCAAAAATTTTAATGCAAGCTTTGATCGAAGATAACTTTGCACCCACTTGACCAAATTCGATGAAAATTTTTTATTCGAATTCTACAGTTCTGTAGAATTCGAATAAAAAAATTTTCATCAAATTTGGTCATGGGGTGCCAAATTATCTTCTAACAAAGTTTTTAATAATTTTTAAAACTGTGACAAAAATTTTAATAGATTTGATTGAAGATAACTTTGCACCCACCAAATTCGATGAAAATTTTTTTATTCGAATTCTACAGTTCTGTAGAATTCGAATAAAAAAAAATTTCATCGAATTTGGTCATGTGGGTGCCAAGTTATCTTCTAACAAAGTTTTTAAGAATTTTTAAAACACATATTGTAACCCGGGAAACTCAGACCTTCGGAGATTTCAATTTTAGGCCGGTTAATTACATATGTGCCGCAGAAGCCTATTTTTGGTTAGTGACGATCTTTGATTTATTTGGGTTAAAGACTTTTAGGAGCGATTTGTCTTAAAGGTCTTAAAGGCGGGGTATAATACTTTTAAGACTTAAAAGTATTTTCTTTATTTTATGTATTTTAATAGTTTATATTATTATAAGACCTAAAAGTCTTAAACGAAACATAGTGTAAAAGAAAGTATATAAGCAGTACATTTCTGCTGTTTAATAAAGACATCGTTTTCATACGATTAAACAAGCGTTCCTTAGCTTGTCTTTGGCCTACTTATACAAATTATTCGTAACACTACCTTTACCTCGATCTTTCCTAAACTAAATTCTTGTCTAATTGTTAAAATCTGATAAACTATAACCGCTACGCTGCCCAAAGGTTACCCTTCTGAATTAGCCCAAATTTAGGCTAGATCGCTCCAATTGTCTGCCCGATACAGACAACCCTTATTATTATCTGAGTTTAGCACCATTTCCAACCTTAGTTTAGGTTGATTGTATTGAGTACCATACCTGGAAGTATTGTGGATATATTTCCTTGCGAGTTAGTTCCAGTGGTTCGAGTGTTGGTAAACTGAAGTTTGTCACGTGTTTCTTACCTAAGGATTGCCGAAGCCTTAGAACCAGTCCACTTCGCCAAATCTAAATGTCTCTTTCGATAAGGTGGTCGAGTACTTTGTTAGATTAATTTTGCTGGTTGATTTAACTCCTGGCAAACCCAAATTTTTCCGTGCAACAATTGGTGGTGACTGTGAGATACGGCACCCCATAGCTTTTAGAGTCACCTTTCATTTTAGTAGTAGTTTTAGTCTTAGTTTTAGTTCTAGCATTAGCCAAATTACCCCTACTTTTGGAAAAGTATCGTTTGGTTTAGGATGGAAGACCTTTTAATTCGAAACGAAGATCTCCGGGTTGAGGAAAATGAAGTTAATGGAGAAATTCAGGATGATCTCGCTCAAGAAAACCAAGTACTAGCCGATGGTGGAAACCAGCCAGAGGACGTTAAAGAAATCCTGAAACAGATTTCTAGTGTATTTAAAGATGTAACCAAGGGATCTTCACGTAGAGAAACCAATTGGGTTCAGGTCAAACCCTTTAAAGGTGAAGAGGATGAAGACCCAATTGAGTGGATTGAGGTCTTTGAGCGAGCCGCAGATGCAAATAATTGGGGAGAAGAACATAAAGTTAAGATTGCCTCGGGCTATCTATCCAAAATAGCGGCCAATTGGTATAAGGGGACGAAAAATGAGCTGCAGTATTGGGATAATGCTGAAAACTTGGACGCCAGCTTCAAGAAACAATTTGTGGATTACTTCGCCACGCCAGAACGATGCCATAAGTGGCAGGTAGACTTGGACAACTTAGAGCAAGGAGACAATGAGCGTGTAGATTCCTACACTTATAAATTTAAGTGTTTGTTGTCTAAAGTTGATGCTGATAAAGGCATTCCGGCTCCTTACGTCGTGAGGATGTTTCTAAAAGGGCTTCGAGGAAACATTGCAGCGCTTTTGTCTTTGGCAGAACCGAGTAATCTTGACAATGCTATTGTAATAGCCCGGAGGATTGAAGCAGGTAGCCATTATGAAGATAAGAAAGGGGCTAAGTTGGTCTTAAGGGTGGAAAAAGAATTGGAAGATTTAACCCTTAAACTAAAGCAAATGGTGGCTAGTTACGAAAAACTCACTACCACTTTAGCTGCTACGATGGATGCCTATCCCACCCGGGATAGACTGCCTCGGCCACCAAATTCTAAAATTATTTGCTTCAATTGTGGTGAGCCAGGTCATATATCTAGGAATTGTTGGTCCGAAAGGAAGTCAAATGACCAAAGAAACTCCATTCAGCCCACACAAATCCTTTCCCGTCCCGGCAATGTTAACTATTGTAGGATAGAGGATAAGAATTACGTTGAAAGTGAGGTTTTGGCTAATGACCAAGCCCGGTATCAACCTTATGCCACGCAAAAAGGGCTAAGGCCGGTAAAGAAGTCCGAGTCAAAGTGGGAGGATAGGTTGAGGCGACGTGAACCAGAAGAGCAGCCCCAAGAACCATTGCCAATGAATGAAGAGCCATATATCTCAGAGGAGCCAACTGTGACTCGCTCTAAGTATAGAAGGGGACCATCTAGGGTGGATAACCTTGAACCATATAATGTTGTTCAAGACTTGTTAAACACTAAGTCTAGTGTCACTATAGGGCAAATGCTAAAATACCCTAACCAACGCCGTAATCTTGCCCAAGCCCTTCGTCGTTCTAGGTTACCTGTGGAGACTAATTATGCCCAACCCAAAGAAAATTTGAGGACCATAGCCGCCCGGTGTTATGTAAAAATTAGAGGAATTCCAGTAGTAGCAATCCTGGACACCGGTGCAGCTGTTAGTTTGGTTACCAAACCTTTGGCAGATAAATTGGGACTTAAGATTGGAGTACCTTCTAATACTGTGGTAATCACAGCCACAGGGGCCCGTGAACGAACCTTGGGGAAGATTGAAAACTTAAAAATGGTTGTAGGTGGCCTTTTGGTTCCAATAACCCTCCAAGTAATTGATTCCCAGGATGAAATGTTGTTGCTAGGTACTGATTGGTTCCAGAAATCAAAGGCCCGTATGCACTTTGATGAAGAAAAGTTATACCTGACTTATCAGGGCCAAACAACCCGCTTGGCTATATCACATGTTGGGGAACATCAGCTTTCGAAGCCTGATGATGAAAGTGACGATGAAGACCTCTTTGATGAATTAGAATTTGAGGATGAACTGCTAGAAGAAGCTGAGAGCTATTATACCAGTGAGGCCTCGTTAGAAGAAGAGTTACATGTAAATCCTTGGGATGGGACACAAAGTTGTGCAGCTATAGAAGAGGTTTTGGTGGGGCATTATGATGAAGAAAATGAAGAAAAAAAAGAGTTGAGTGAAATATGGCAAAAGGCACTAGATGAATTAGTAGTACAGGAAGAAATAGGTAACAAGGGCCGGGAACAAGCTGAATGGTTATTTGCTAAGTACGAAGATATATTTGCTAGAGGATTAGAAGATTTAGGGCAGACTAATATTGTTCAGCATTATATCAACACGGGTTCTACATCTCCTATCAAGCAGGCGGCCTATCGATTAGCTCCTAATGAGCAGAAGTTTTTACAAGAAGAGGTTCGAAAAATGTTGAATACAGGATTAATAAGGGAGTTCTATAGCCCATAGTCATCTCCAGTGGTGTTAGTCCCCAAGAAGAATGAAAAATTACGGGTCTGTATTGATTATTGGAAAATCAACACAGTAACGAAGAAAGACACCTATCCTATTCCAAGAATAGATGATATGCTAGAGACATTCGGGAATGCCTCTTGGTTCTCTAGTTTAGACTTGGCCAGTGGGTACTGGCAAGTCTCCGTAGCTGAACAAGACAAAGAAAAGATAGCCTTTGTCACCACATTCGGGTGTATGAGTTTAATGTTATACCTTTTGGTCTCTGTAATACCCCAGCTATGTTTTAGCGGCTGATGAACCATGTGCTAAAGGAGTATATTGGGCAATTTGTTGCCGTCTACCTTGATGACATTACTGTCTACTCTAGAACTTTCTGGGAACACATAGAACATTTGGAAAGAGTCTTTATCAAGCTTCAGGAGGCACGGTTAAAATTAAAAGTGAGAAATGTTACCTTCTTAGAAGGTCATTAAAGTTTCTAGGCCATGAAATTACTAGGGATGGAATTAGACCAGATAATGAAAAGGTCATCAAAGTCTGAGAATACACGGCACCGAAGACTTTGCGTCAATTGAGAGGATTTTTGGGTCTATCATCCTACTTAGGTGGTTTATTAAAGGTTTTGCCTCTCTTGCTCAACCCTTGCATCACCTACTTCGGAAAGACGTGCCATATGATTGGGGTGAGCCTCAACATAAGGCGTTTGAAACATTGAAGCGCCATTTGACTACTGCCCCAATTTTACAGAACCCAAATTTTTCTGTGCAACACTATAAATTTTGTTACTGCAATAGTTGTAGCAGAATTTTATACAGAAATTATGATAGAATAATAATTTTAGCCATGTTATAATATCTTAATACAATAGTTTATAAATTTTGTAATAAATATAAATTAATAAAAATATATTAGTTTCAAATATATTTTTTATAATCTAATTGGTTGATTTGATTACATAATGATAATCATAATAAGTTATATATCTCTAGTACTATTTTTCAAGGCTATTAAATAAAATAGATTCATATTTATAAAAAATTTGAAAATTTTATTAGCTAATTATAATAAGTTAAAATAAGCTAATAATAGATTAATAATAAGCTAAGAGCAGTGCAGTTAATCACGTAATTAGGGTTTACTATGAGGCTATACCCCTCTCTACCTCTTTTACTATATAAAAAATAATTAGCCAATCAAATTTTTTATATATATATAGACGTGATAGTTTGCTTACTCCCAAAAAATCATGTAATTTTCTGCACTTCCCTAATAACAAGTTAATAATAAATTAATAATAAATTAATAATAAGTTAATAATAAGTTAATAATAAGCTAATAATAAGTTAATAATAAGTTAATAATAAGTTAATAATAACTAATAATAAGTTAATAATAGATTAATAACAAGCTAATAACAAATTAAAAATATTTTTATAATATTTTAATTATATTATTATTTAATTATATATATATTAATTTTTTATAACAATTAGCTAATAATAAGATAATAACAAGCTAATTAAAAGTAATTTAAAAGTAATTTAATAAAATAAAAAATATTTTAATTATATTTTAATTAAATTTTAATTATATTTTTATTATATAATAATTATATAGTAAACATATTTAGCAAAATCAAAAGTTTTGAAATCTATAGGTGTCGCAAAATCTAGCATATGAATAGTGAGTTACACCTTGGTTAGATAAGAAATGGTGGGCCGGT